CTGCATGGAAGTAGATGATCGATTCGATAATCTACCGTCTGACTTAAACACGCTCTGTAATGAATTTTCGCGTTAGGAAAGGTGGAAAGCTATCACCCGATCACCACGTTCATGCTGCACGCTACGCTGTGAGAAATGGAGCAGCATACGACGATCTTGCGGCAGAAACAATCACGGAATCAAATGAGAAACCCTATCATCTTCGGATAGGAAAGCAACACTTTCAAATAAAATCGCACCGCAGTTTGATTAGATCCAAGTGATGACCGCTGATGTGAAAACCCAATGGAACATCCTTAAGCGAGGCTTACTCGAGGATACTGCCGAATTAAGTAGTTGGCATTGGCCTGCCGCCTGGAGGTGAAAAAATAACTTCCTGGTGGTCACGAGAGGTACAACTGGTAGTCAAAGAGAAGAAGGCTGCATTCAAGAAATGGCTTCAACTCGCATACGGTATTAAGTAGCGCGCTAGGCGGCAGCAAAAGCTGTGGCGAAAGTCAACGCTGATTCCTGACAGAAGTGTGAGGTGAGGTGAGGTGTTGGAGTTCAATTTCCACATGGCAAACAAGGTATTCTGGTAGACCATCCGCCGGCTCCGAGGTGAAAAGGGCAGTCTCAGAGACTTGAAAACAGATCTGGACACCCTCTTACCAAGGATGATGACATCATTCTTCGGCGATGGAGGGAATACTAAGAGGAACTCATTAACCCCGCGCAGCTGCAGGAAGAATCGCCTGTAGAGCAGAAGGGTACGGATATTTCTATCTCTGTAGATGAAATTGCACAAGCTGTGAAAAACCTGAAAAATGTTAACGCTGTTGGAATTGACGAAATCCTCCCTGAAATGCTCAAGGCAACAGGCGAACAACGCATTTGCTGGCTTATAAGTGTCTGTCAAACTGCGATGACTGGAAGGGGGAAAGACACCAGCGGACTGCAGAACGGGAGTTATTGTAACCGTATTCCAGAAGGGAGACCATGAGGAATGCCCCAATTAGAGGGCAATACGTTATTGAGCCTCCCAGGTAAAGTCTACGCAAAGGTAACAGAAAGGAGGTGCCGCGAAATAGCTGACCTGAAGATACAAAAGCAGTGTGGCTTCCGGCACAGTCAAAGCACCTCTTACCACATTACTGCCTTGAGCCAGACGCTTGAGAAATCGTGGGAGTACGTCCGGTGTATATGTGCCTTATTGACCTAGAAAAAGCCTATGATCGGATCGCACGCAACAGTCTGTGGTCATGCCTTCGAGCAAACGGGATAGATGGCCAGCTGCGAAGGGCCATCCAATCACTGTATTCTGATAGCAGGTGTTGCGTCAGAGTTAATGGCGTTAAGTCGAAACCATTCAAAGTTCGCACTGGCCTCCGCCAAGGCTGCGTCCTGTCCTCTATCCTGTCTGTGTTGTACATGGACAGAATAGTCAGGAGCTGCCAAGGCGATGAGGGTATCGGTATAGGAGATGTTAAG